GACTTTAAAACTCTGTTTCAGATGAAAGGGTTGATGTTTCTTTCCCTGAAAATTATTTTTAATCATAAAGTCTGACTCTGTCTTTCCCTACCTTCTTTATTCATGTGGGTGAACAGCCTTGTTTGACCAAGTTATGCCTCTGGGAAACAGCTTATGAAGTTTATGGTCTTTCCTTCCATTTCTGCATTGTGGGGGTTTGTAGGGTTTGTAGCTACTCAGGCTCACAATTCCCTCCCTCCCTCCCTCCCTCCCTCTCTCTCTCTCTCTCTTTCTTTCTTTCCTCCTCATCTTCCTCCTCCTCCTTCTTCTTCTTTAATTTGTTCTAATTAGTTATACATGGAAGTAGAATGCATTTTTTTTTTTTGGTGATGCTGGGAATCGAACCCAGGGCCTTGTGCATTTGAGGCAGGCACTCTACCAAGTGATCTGTATCCCCAATCCCAGGAGAGTGCATTTTGATGCATTGTACACAAATGGAGCACAACTTCTCCTTCCTCTGGCTGTACATGGTGCAGAGTCACACCAGTAGTGTAATCATACATGTATATAGGGTAATAATGTTCATCTCATTCCACTGTCCTTCCCACCCTTACCCCCTCTTCTCCCCTCAGCACAATTCAAAGTTACTTCATTCTTCCTTATGCCTTCCCCACACTCCTTTATGGATGAGTAGCATTTGCTTATCAGAGAAAACAGTCAGCCTTTGTTTTTTTTGGGTGGGTTTGCTTATTTTTTGCTTAGCATGATTTTCTCCAGCTCTGTCCATTTACCTGCGAATGCCATAGTTTCATTCTTCTTTAAGGCTGAGTAATATTTCATTTTGTATATGTACCACATTTTTTTATCCATTCATCTGTTGAAGGGCATCTAGGTTGGTTCCATAGTTTAGCTATTGTGAATTGAGCTTCTGTAAACACTGATATGGTTACATTACCATATTATGCTGATTTTAAGTCCTTTATGTTTAAACTGAGGAGTGGGATAACTAAGTCAAATGGTGGTTGCATTCCAGGTTTGCTGAGGAATCTCCATACTGCTTTCCATAGTGGTTGTACCAACTTGCAGTGCCATGAGCAATGTATGGATGTACCTTTCCCCCCACATCCTCGCTAACACTTATTATTGGTTGTGTTTTTGCAATTCCTGTTAAAATACAAATGACATTATTCATAGAAATAGAAAAATCAATCATGAAATTCATTTGGAAAAATTAGAGACCCAAAGCAGTCCTTAGCAAGAAGAGTGAAGCAGGAGGCATCACAGTACCAGGCCCTTAAACTATACTACAGAACAATAGTAACAGAAATGGCATGGTATTGGCATCAAAATACACATGTAGACCAATGGTAAAGAATAGAAGACACAGAGACAAACCCACATAATACATTGATCTCATACTAGACAAAGGAGCCAAAAATGTACATTGGAGAAAAGATAGCCTATTCAACTAATGGTGCTGAGAAAACTGGAAATCCATATGTAGCAAAATGAAATTAAATCTTTATCTCTCACCTTGCATAAAAATCAGCTCAAGGTAGATCAAAGACTTAGGACTAGAACAGAGACTCTTTGCCTAATTAAAAAATAAAAAGTAGGCACGAATCTTAATCATGTTGGCTTAGTATCTGATTTCCTTAACAAGACTCTTAAAGTGCAAGAAGTAAAATTAAGAATCAATAAATGAGATGGATTCAAACTAAAAAGCTTCTTCTCAGCAAAGGAAACAATTAATACTGTGATGAGAGAGCCTACAGAATGCTAGAAAATCTTTACCACATGCACCTCAGAGCACTAATCTCCAGGATATGTAAAGAACTCAAAAAACTTAACACCAACAACAACAACAACAACAACAACAACAACAAAAAACCAAGAACAAAACAAAACAAAAAAAACTCAATCAATAAATAGGCTAAGGAACTAAACAGACTCTTCACAGAAGAAGAAATACAATCAATCAGTAAAATGAAAAGATGTCCATCATCTCTAGCAATTAGAGAAATGCAAATCAAAACTTCAGTTCTTTTGATGGGGATTTGGGTAGACTTTCTCTAACAGACTGCAAGTGTAAGGATCCTTTCTAAGCTTTATTTATGTAGGACCAAATTTTTACCAGCGTTATATTGCTTTGGTAGCCACCACAAACTTAGTGGCTTAAAACAAGAAAAATGTATTATCTTACAGGTCTAGTGGACAGAAGTCTGATAGGCCCTACTAGACAAATCAGGATGTCTGCCAAGCTGCGTTCCTTTCTGGAGGCTCTAGGGGAGAATCTGTTCTTTGCTTTTCCCAGCTTCTAGAAGCTAAATGTATTCTTTGGCTCAAGGCCCCCTCCCAACAATAGAATCACTCAGACCTCTACTGTCCTTACTTCTCCTTTTTTGGCCTGACTGTCCTCTCTCTTTTTATTCCCCTTTATAAGGACCCTTGTGATTAATATTGGCCTAACTGAGTATTGTAGAATGATCTCACCATCTCAAAATCTTAATTACATTAGCAAAATTTCTTTTGTCATGTAGGATAATGTATTTGTAGACTTCAGGGATTAGGACCTTTATTTTTTAGTTGTAGTCGGACAGCATGTGTTTATTTTGTTTATTTTTGTGTGGTGCTAAGGATCAAACCCAGTGCCTCATATGTGCTAAGCATGAGCTCTACCCTGAGCTATAGCCCCAACCCCCAGGACTCAGACATTTTTGATTAATCATTATTCTGCTTACCTTAGGAGACACTATTCAAACTAATGTTCGTATGCTGACTTAATCCTCATAACAACTATGAGTTAGGTGTTATTAATTATCTCCATTTTATAGATGAGGAGATTGAGGTATGGAGAAGTTATGAAACCTGCCCAATGTTGCATGGCCATTTGATATGGAGCCAGAATTCAAATGTAGCTTGACTTTAAAGTTTGGTTTTAATTTTATTTCTACAGTCACATGCTGTATCTGTCAAAGTAATTTTTAGAAAGCCATACTTTTATTATAGTAGCAGCAGCCATAATCATACCTTTTGCAGTGATTAGTTGATGGCAGTTTCTGAACTAATTTCTTTCACAATCATTCCAAGGCATAGAATCTGCATTTTGTCTATAAGGAAACCGAGGCCCAGAAAAGTTACTTCCTTAAGGTAGTAAGGTAGAATTTAAATAACTGAATATACTTAACTATTGAACTAACCTCCCTTTATCTTTATCTGGTGAAGAAGGGCATTAAATATAAAAGTAATCATTATTTGCTGTTACATTATTAGGAACATTTGATGACAGAATCAAGAGTTAAGACAGAATCAGATCTTGATGGGATAGAGTAATATCCTGAGTCTAACAGAATTATATTGAAGGGGGAAAAATGCATGAATGAAAGGTGAGATTGATCAGGAATTTCAGATACATATACATTGGGGAAAAGTTTTGCGTCTTTTGCTACCATTGATGACATTATAAACAATAATATTTTATCTAAAGTTCTCTGAACTAGAAATTTGATTTGATTGAGTGCAGATCTTATTACCATGGTAAGAAACATTCTAAAATTATTTTGATATTCTTTTTCCAAAGTGCCTGTGCTGCCCACATCAGTTGAAAAACCATAACTTCTTAAACTGTGGTTAGTGAAAATAATTTTTGGTTGGACCATAAAGAATTCATAATCTTTGCCCTAGAAAGGGAGCCACACATTCTACCCTGCCCATGAGGTCATAATTATCATGCTGTGACCAAACGTAGGTCAGGTTCTGTGTCATTTCCCAGACAATCCATGAAGTCCATCCTGTTACTTAGGACTTTCCTTCCTGTGCTCTTCTTGTCTTTTTGGGTAAGAAATGAATGCGATACAATGAAGATTTTTTTCAAAAATTTTCTTTTTTTTTTTTTTTTAAATTAAGTGTTTTTTTTATTTGAAATTTTTGGGGCGTGAGGTTAACATTTAGTCCTTTGCACACTGTTTTTGTCTCATCTTCTCCCTCTTTCTTTTTCTTTCTCCTCCTGCAAATATTTGAGATCCTTCTATGTACCAGGCATTGTGCTGGGAATCAGAGTGCCAGGAAGAGCAAAATCGCTATGGTGCCTTTTCTCAATATACAGGTCCATGTAGTAATGAAAAAGTGGAAGCAATACATGAATTAAGTGGATATTTGTGATATTCTGTGGAGGAAAATAGTATCAAGTTGAGATAGAGAATAACTTGAGGATGGCTGAGAAGGCTATACAGAAGTGAATTGGGTGAGAGCTGAAGCATTGTATATACAAAAGACATGTTCAAGGTACAGAGATGTGGGGAGGAGCTGGCTTGGAACTGGGACACAATCAGCAAGAAGATGAGAAAGGAAGTGGTTGCACCTTCTTATTGAATGTGGTATACCAGAATGAGTGTGTGTGTTTGCCTGTAGGTGTTTTACTGTTCTAAGTACAACAAGAAACAAGCACTGTCTGCTAAGAAAGGTATTGCAAGTTGAATATGGGCATGGATGAAGGATATAGCATGTAAATGGGAAATCAGGTGGGAGGCTTCTGCACTAGGCCAGGTGAGACTATTGGCGACTTGAAAGCAGGCTGTTAGGAGTCCAGAAGGAAAGAGGTTGACTGACTCAATGAGTTATTTTAGAGGCAGGATAGAAAGAGCTTATAGGTAGTTTGAGTGTGTGAGCATTGTAAGGAAGGAGGAGGAAAACAATTATCACACCAAGATTTTGAGGGTGTCCAACCAAGTGAAGATTAAAGGCACTTAAGGAGACTTGAGGTCTGAAGTGGCTTGTGGTGAAGGTGTTTTGGATTTCACTTTGAAGCCCAAATAGAGATGTCAGGTAGGCGTTTGAATATATGAATCTGTTTTTAGAGAAGAGATTTCAGCAGGAGATATAAATATGGGAGACATCATTACAACCAGGAAATTTAAATCATGGAATGGATGAGATCATGTCAGGCAGTGTGGAGAGGTAACAGGGCTTAGGAGCTAACCTTGAGTTCTCTAACATCCACCTTCCCTGGAATCCTCCTCCAGATACCCCTGGAGGGAGAGAAGGAGCCAACTAAGGAGACCGATAAATTGTGGCCCAGATGGAAACTAAGAACATGTTGTCCTGGGAGTGAGTGAAGAAAATGTTTCCAGGAAGAAGGAGTGTTTTACTGTGCTGCGTGCTCCTTGAGATGATAAGTAAGGTCAGCGCACAGTATTCTTCACCAGGCTTGAAATGTGGGAGGCTTTGGGGACTTTATGAGGGCACTTTTGGTAGATAGACAGGCACAGATTGAACTGGGCAGGTAGAATGCATGGGTGTTTATTGGAAGGAGGGATTACTTGTAGAGATTCTTGATAATCCCTGTACATTGTGAAGGATAGGGTATTTATATATACACACAAACATATGCATGTGCTTGCATATGTATATACAGAGAGAAGGTGAAAGAGAGGATTTATTGAGAGAATTTGTTCATTTAGTTATGGAGGCTGACAAGTCCCATGATAGGCTTTCTGCAAGTTTGAGAACTAGACAACCTGGTAGTGTGGCTCATTCCCTGTCCATGGGCTCTGATCCTTGGGAAGGTGGGTATAACTCTCAGACTGAGACCCAAGGCTCAGAGTCTGGGGGGGGTTGCTTGTGTGAATCTTAGATTCCAAAGGAGAACCTGGAGTTCTAGCATTCCAAGGCCGGAGGACCAGCTAGAAGGGGTGCCCTTTATGTGTTTGTTCTGTCCAAGCTCCCAGCTGATAAGGAGGTATCTGCCCACATTGAGGGCTGACACTCAGTCTAATGACTCACATATCAACCTTCCCTGGTCCTCCTCTAGATCCCCCTGGGGCAGCCCAATCATTCCAACTAGTGCTAAGAAACATGGGTTTCCCTTTTAGCAGGAGAGAGTGGGGGGGGTCTCCTTGCTGAAGCATTGAGAAAAATTAATGCTTTAGCAGCTATCTGGATTCTTTAGTTCAGTCAAGTTGACACCAAAAATCCCATGAGTTAAGGAAGCAGAGGAGTTTGACTTTTCAAAATTTAAATAGGCTCTAATATTATACAAGAATATTAAGAATATAGAGGTATATAGATACATGGAATATAAGAATATTTAGAATATAGACTATAGACATTAAGAATATAAGAATACAGAATTGGTGATATTTGACTATTTTTGGCTTAGGAGAATGTCAGTTTCATGTAGTTTCATATAATAGAACATGTTAAACTACTGAGAATGAATTGCTTTTAAAAGGAGAGTTTTGATGGAGCTGTATTGAGGGGGTTTAACTAAAAGAACAAAGTTTGAGCAGTTGAGAGGGATGGGATTGGAAGTCAGCAGAAGCTGGGGAGAGAGGAAGACACATTTTTTTCAGTTGTAAGGAGGAGGAGAAGCTGTGAATGTTCAGCTGTGCTTGAGTGATCAAGGTCACTTCAGTTCCCAGCAGCTAGTGTCCTCCCTGGGGCAAATAATTACGTAATAAGCTTAGATTTAGCTGTTGATAACAGTCATTGGTTTTGTTCATAGGACTGAGTAGGTGCTGTTCCTATTCTACTTCATAGTAGTCTCTAAATTTGCTCTCTCAAATGTCTTAGATATCTGATTTTTTTTTTTTTGCTGTGTTTTTTTCTCTTTCACCAGTAGCAGAGAAAATCAAATATGACCTCCTTCTCCACTCCTCAGCAGTGCAGCCCTGGTGGCCTCCCTATAGAACTGATTAGCAAATCAAAGAATAAAGTGGTTTTTTTTACAAGTGACTTTCTTACCCTACAGAAAATTGTTTTTTATTCAATATTACTATCAGTATTCTTTGACTTATTAGCATAATTGAAACATTATGATTTCTATTTCTTTAATGCAGACTGTATATGTATCTTTTTTAGGTCACCACTCCTCTCTTACATATATGCAGTTTGCTTGATGTGTATGTCAAGAATTTATTTCTTTATTTCACTGTAATAATAGTTTTAAAAATAATTTTTATTAGACCATTATGCTTATATATCCTCAGGCTACAGTTTTCTCCATGCATTTAATTTACCATATAATCCTAGGTACTGATCATTAATTGTGTTTTTAGAGCTACAATGAGATTGAAAGTTGTCTTTAATGCATGAAGGATCTTTCCTCATGAAGCATCTCTTATAATGTTTATTTTGAATGATACTTTTATTCATTGATTATGGGACCAAGGCCATTCCTGGGAAGGGTCCTCTTCTTTTTCAGTGTGTACTTGTTGAACTATAGACAGCTTTGCTGTATAAATGGGCCACAAGTGATCTTTTTGTTAAAGCACAGAAAGTTCTGCCCATGTATTAAAATTTTAATAATGTAATACCATAAGCATAAGATAAACATGGCATCTTTAAAAGCTCTGAGATCATGGCATTTTAGTCATATGACCATCTTTCACCAATAGCAGAGAAAATTAAATATGCTCTAGACTAAGCTAAAGTCTTATTTTATAGAAGTCAATAGCTTTATTGAAGGTGAGACAAATCAACAAGTTGTAATTCTACTTTGAATGAAAAGAACTTGATTTTCTATTATCTGCTACACTCAAAATTGTAACACTGAAATGTATTTGTCTTCAGCATTGGAAGTATTCAACAGAATCTATCAGAAGTGACTTAAAAAGGCCACAGTTCATGATATTGTGATAGAGTGAAGAAAAGTTTTCCCTTTGTTTTTGTCACCCTTTGTAACATGTCTGTTTAGAAAGAGATGTACAGGTTAGTTGACTGTGTACTTTACTCTCAAATATTTTTGCTTTGGTTGAACTTTAGGTTATGCCAAAGAACATCTTTTGGTCTTTTCATGGATAACCATTCATAAGCAACAGTGATGTGTGCTCCTGGAGAAGGTTTTGAGTATGATACTGCTTAACAACTTTGCTTATCTGGAATACACATGGTTCACCTATAAGCAGCTAGTGTTGCACTGATCACTCGTTGCCTTCGCTATGCCATTTCTAGATGTAAACTGATGTGTATTCTCTTTCTTGCTTGTTACTAAGGGAAAAGGTCCTTGTTTTGCAGGAAGAGATCTGTGCTAAAACCTTGTACTTCCCTCATGTCTCTGTATATGCCAGTGAGAAGAGGCTTCAGATTCTACTCTGTGTTGACATGCTACTTCACTCCAGAGTGACAGCTGCTTTCAAGGATGAGTTTTGATTGTAGGGGGCTGTTTCTGTGGAGAGATCTGTGAGAATGTCTTCTGGGTCTGTGAGAGCACTGTGCAGTCTTGTGTCCTATGCCTGTCTATAAAAAGGGCTTTGGTCATTCATCCCCAATGTCATGTTCCCTCTTCCTAAGGTAATTTTCTGCCTCTTGGCTATTTTTTCTTATTCCAAATTTTCTGTTCTAGTTTCTTCAGATTTCTGACCATTCTAGCATAGTTTGCTGAAATAACTGGCCTTCTCTTGGTAGATCTCAGTGTGTTGCCTTCTCTTCTGCTTTTTGAACTGACCAGTAACCTGTGAGTATAACTCTGATATTTCTCATCCCACCTTAGCATTACAAAATCAACAAATACTCATAGCAGGTTAAAAAGAATATAAATATATCTAGTTTTTAACTATCTTGATTTATTTTTCCAGAAGTATAGCATGTCATACACACAATTTCATATATTTCATATATACTATTAAAAAAACTTTCTCTATACTTCATTTTCTGAAAATACCTCTCCTGCTATTTCTATTTTTTAAAAATTTATATATCTAAATTTTTGTGGCTGCATACTGTTCCATGATATAGCTCTACCATTTGACAAGTCCCCTTGTTTTGAACATTTAGGTGTATTCTTTTTTCTTTTTTCTTCTTCTTTTCTTTCTACTGCCATTATTTCCTGGTGATGGATGTCTGGAGTTGTTTGGTCACCATCATGATGTTACTTTTTTAAACTTAAATTTGAGCTTTTTGGGATATGGGGTTTGGATCTTGCTTACAGTGTCACTGTGTATTTATAGACTAGGGCATGGATCTTAAGCTTATCTGTCTTCCCAGAATGTTGTATTATGCCTGACGTAGTGGGTGTTTGCTAAAGAATTGTTGCATTCCAGAAATATGAGGGCCATTTAACAAATAAATGAGTATCTACTGTATATTTGGAATCTAGGATATAGGGTTGAATAGGACAAAGATTGTCCTTGCTTTTATAAGCTGAGGTATTACTAAAAAGCAGTCTGAGTTACTGATGGTATGGTTCCTTAGAGGATGTTCTTGTTTGTGGCTAATTGAGAGCTGATGAACTGATTTCATTGTCCACTAGTATTAACTAGTTGAGATGAAATATCTTTCAGGTTCATATTTTTTAACTTTAGTAAATAACTCATATTAGTTACACTGAAATTTAAAATTTTATACCTGAATATGATATGCTGTTTTACTTAGTGATTCCAGAGACCCAGGTATCTTTTAGGACTGAGTTTTGGGAGAATAGAAAATATACCTCAAACTATTTTTGGACCCTCTGTTGCATATTTTAAAATATGATTAAACAAAGATTTTAGCTATGAAAAAAATTTTTGCTGTAAATTGTTGTTTTATTAATGCCAGCTTTTCATGCTTTCTGTGATTCCACTTGTAAAAGTGGAAAGTAAAGGGTGAGTGGTGAGTGGCTACCCAAAAGGGCAGCCAAATAATTTTTTTTTAAAGAAATAAGTATGCCTAAGCAGAGCTGTATTAGTGTTTTATATAGATGCCTTTCTCTTTTATATTTTAGGCCCAGCTCTCGGTGTTACAAGAAAAAATAGACCATTTGGAACGTTTGCTGGCTGAGAATAATGAGATCATCTCAAATATTAGAGACTCGGTCATCAATTTGAGTGAGTCTGTGGATGATGATTCGAAAGATTCTCAAGGCAATTTCAGCCAAGGTGCTGGCTCACAACTTCAGCAATCAGAGTTGTACATTCAGGTTGACCCTAGTGACTGTCTGTCTCTGTCACAAACTGGAAGTCTGCAACCAGATGTGCAGGTAATATAGACATTCACTAATAATCATGAAACATTTTTTGTTTTGCTTTTAGGTTTTCTCTGGTGTCTGTTCTTACTGGTAAGTTGTTTAAACTCTGGATTCCAGTTTCTCTATTTTGCAGAAGGATTTGATTTGTCATATCACTATTTTTTTTTTTTAGTGATAAAATTTTGGAATTTTGTGTCACTCCTGTTTTCTTGTGAAAAATGGCCTATTTGTATATTTTTCTATTCTTATTTCCTATAATGTTTGAAACCATTGGAGATTTAATTTTCCCCAAAGAGATTTTCTTCATTCCTTTAGAAAACATAATAGAAGCCCAGCTTTCACTGTATGTCTGTTTTCATACAGTGTAGGATTAGGTATTTTCACAGTGGAGGAGCATTCTAGAGCTGTGCTTTCCAGTATGGAAGCTGTCATCACATGTGACTGCTGAGCACTTGCTATATGACTAATTTGACTTGAGTTGTGCTCTAAAAGTAATATAAACACAGAGTGTTTCAGACTTAAATATGTGAAATATCTTAATTCATTTATATAATTTGATTATACATTTGAGTTGATAATCTTTTGCATATGTAAATTTAAATAAAATATATTATTGAAGTTAATTTCTTCTGTTTCCTTGTAGTAGAAAATTTAAAATTACATATTTGGCTTTTATTCTATTTCACTTGGACAACATTGTTCTAGAGGGTACTGGAATCAAAAACTAGGACTTCTTCAGAAAGGACTGGTTTCTTAAATGCTGGGCATCACTCCTGGCCCTGCTCTGCAAATTAGCAGAGGGCTATGTTTAACCTTGTGCTTTAGACTAGAAACTGGAACTCTGGGGGGGGACCCTAAAGGGTGAATATTTTAAAGTTAGACAGAATTAGTTGGCCTCTATCCTGGCTTTAGACTGACATTTCCCACTAATTTCTTTAGGCACAGAACATGATACCATCTCAAGGCCATGGCTCATAAGCCAAGCTGGAAGTGGAGCTAGCCAGGCCTTGCACCTGCAACCTCACCAGCTAATGTGTGGACACAGTCAGATAGGATCAGAATCCTGTACATGGCAGGGAAATCTCTTTCTGTGAGACTTGGCTTCATTTTGGTTTTTATTGAGTACTACATAAGTACCTAGCTTGGTCAGCCATGCTGAAGGAACAGTAAAGCTATTTTTTCTGTGCATGTGAAATTAATGGTTAAACTTTAACTTTTGTTCTTTTATATTTTTAGATGTTGGATGTTTACAATCTAATTCCTTTTGATAATCCAGATGGTGGAGTTTGGAAGCAAGGGTTTGACATTAAGTATGAAGATCATGAATGGGACGATGAGAGCCTTCAAGTCTTTGTGGTGCCTCATTCCCATAATGACCCAGGTAAAATTTGTACTTCAAAAAAAAAAAAAGAAGAAGTTTTCAAATTTCTTTAGACCCAGAGTCCTTTAATGAGAATATGGGTAGAGCTTACATCTAACATTCTTGAGATATTATTCTCTGACTTTTAACAGTAATGTATTTCTTTTATGTCATTATGTTCTAGTGTTCTCATTTTATCAATTTATGTGCCACTCAAGGATAATACATGTGCAGTGTGAAAAATCTTAGTTTTTGGAGGTGAAAGTTGTGCACACTTAAGGGTACTAAGGCAGGGTGCTCATGGGAAAATTTGAATTTTTAACTTGCAGAAGCAGTGTGAAGAGTGGTCACTGGTATCAATCAGGCCGACATGGTATAAATCCTAGCCCTGTCTGTCAGAGTTAGATGATTTCATATAAATTACTTAATCCCTCTGAGGCTAAGTTTTTTTTTTTTTTCTGGTATAACCAGGATAATAGTATCTCCTTCACAAGGCGAAATGTAAGGGAATTGTGTATGGCATACGAGTAGCTGCTGTCTTATCAATTATTGTTATTTCATGTGATGGCTTTTATTTATTGGTGCCAGAGATTTTTTTCTTCAAGGTAAGGGGAAATTGCTACAATTCTAGTGGAGCTTATGCTTTGATATGTATATTTGATAGTGAATATACAGTATAGAGTGAAAACCCAGTGAATTTAGATGAGGCATTTTATTGTAATTCATTTCTGAAGACTTCTATAAAAGGACTTCTTTTTTTTATTAATTTTTAAAATTTGTTTTAATTAGTTATAAATGACAGTAGAATGCATTTATGCACTTTTATATTCATAGATGAGATGTGATTTCTCATTTTTCTGAGTGTACATGTTATAGAATCATATTGATCATGTAGTCACATATATACATAAAGTAATAATATCTGTTTCATTCTACTATCTTTCCTATCCCCACATCCCCTCCCTCCCCGCCCTTCACTTCCCTCTACCTAATCTAAGGTAACACTATTCTCTCTGCCTTATTGTGAATTAGCATCTGCATATTAGAGAAAACATTCAGCCTTTGTTTTTTGGGGGGATTGGCTTATTTCACTTAGCATGATATTCTCCAACTCCATTCATTAATTGGCAAATGCCATAATTTCACTCTTCTTTAAAGCTGAGTAATATTTCATTGAGTATATATACCACATTTTCTTTATCCATTCATCTCTTGAAGGACACCTAGGATAAACATTGATGTGGCTGTATTAATGTAATATGCTGATTTTAGGTCAATTGGGTATAAACCAAGGAGTGGGATAACTGGGTCAAATGATGATTTCATTCCAAGTTTTCTGAGGAATCTCCATACTGCTTTCCATAGTGGTAGCACCAGTTTGCAGTCCCACCAGCAATGTATGAGTGTACCTTTTCACCACATCCTCGCCAACATTTATTGTTGCCTGTATTCTTGATTATTGCTATTCTGACAGGAGTGAGATGAAATCTTCAAGTAGTTTTTTAATTTGCATTTCTCTAATCGCTAGAGATGTTGAACACTTTTTTCATATATTTGTTGATCAGTTGTATTTCTTTTTCTGTGAAGTGTCTGTTCAGCTCCTTAGCCCATTTATTGATTCGGTTATTTGTTTTTTTGGGTGTTTTTTGAGTTCTTTATATATCCTAGAGATTATTGATTTATTGGAGGTACAGTCTGTAGGCTGTCTCCTTACGTTATTGATTTTTTTTTTTTGTAGAGAAGAAGCTTTTTAATTTAAATTCATCCCATTTATTGATTTGTGATTTTACTTCTTGTGCTTTAAGAGTCTTTTGTTAAGGAAGTCAGATCCTAGGCCGACATGGTGAAGATTCGGGCCTGTTTTCTTCTGTTGGGCTCAGGGTCTCTGTTCTAGTGCCTGAGTCTTTGATCCACTTTGATTTGAGTTTTATGCAGGATGAGAGATAGAAGTTTAATTTCATTTTGCTATATGTGGATTTCCAGTTTTGCCAGCACCCTTTGTTTGAGTAGGCTATATTTTCTCCATTGAATGTTTTTGGACCTTTGTCTAGTATGAGATAACCATATTTATGTGGGTTTGTCTCTGTGTCCTCTATATGTGTATTTTGGTGCCAATACCAAGCCATTTTTGTTACTATAGCTCTGAAGTATAGCTCAAGGTCTGATATTGTGATGCTTCCTGGTTCACTTTTGTTGCTAAGGATTGCTTTAGCTATTCTGGATCTCTTATTTTTTCCAAATAAGTTTCGTGATTGCTTTTCCTATTTCTATGAAGAATGTCATTGGGATTTTAATAGGAATTGCATTAAATCTGTATAACGCATTTGATAAAATGGCCATTTTGACAATATTAATTCTCCCTATCCAGGAGCATGGGAGATCTTTGAATCTTCTGAGGTTTTCTTCAATTTTTTTCTTTAGTATTCTGTATTTTTCATTGTAGAAGACTTTTAACCTCTTTTGTTAGATTGATTCCCAGGTATTTAATGTTTTTTTGAGGCTATTGTGAATGGGGTAGTTTTCCTAATTTCTCTTTCAGTGGATTCATCGCTGATGTATAGGAATGTGCTTGATATATGGGTGTTGACTTTATATCCTGCTGCTTTGCTGAATTCATTTAGTAATTCTAGAAATTTTCTGGTGGAATTTTTTGGATCTTCTAGATATAGAATCCTGTCATCAGCAAATAGTGATAATTTGAGTTCTTCTTTACCTGTTTGTATCCCTTTAATTTCTTCCTTTTGTTTAATTGCTCTGGCTAAGTTTCAAGGAAGATGTTGAATAGAAGTGGTGAAAGTGGACATAACTTGTTTGTTCCAGTTTTTAGAGGGGATCCTTCCAATTTTTCTCCATTTAGAATGATTCTGGCCTTGGGTTTGGGTATGTTCCTACTATTGTTGAGGTATGTTCCTACTATTCCTAGTTTTTCTAGTGTTTTGAACATGAATGTGTGCTGTGTTTTGTCAAATGCTTTTGCTGCATCTATTGAGATAATCATGTGATTCTTGTTTTTAAGTTTATTAATATGATGAATTATGTTTATTGATTTCCGTATATTGAACCAACCCTGCATCCCTGGGATGAACTCCACTTGATTGTGGTGCACTATCGTTTTAATATGTTTTTGTATGTGATATGCCAGAATTTTATTGAGAATTTTTGCATCTATTTTCTTCAGGGATATTGGTCTGAAGTTTTCTTTCCTTGATGCGTCTTTGTCTGGTTTTGGTATCAGTGTGATATTAACCTCATAGAATGAGTTTGGAAGGGTTCCCTCCTTTTCTCTTTCGTGGAATACTTTGAGGATATTGGTGTTAATTCTTCTTTGAAAGTCTTGTAGAACTCAGCTAAGAATCCATCTGGCTTTTCTTGGTTGGTAGGCCTTTGATGGCGTTTTCTATTTCTTTACTTGAAATTGATCTATTTAAATTGTGTATGAATTCCTCATTCAATTTCAGTTGGTCATATATCTCTAGAAATTTGTCGATGTGTTTGATATTTTCTATTTTATTGGAACAGAAATTTTTAAAATAGTGTCTAATTATCTTTTTTATTTCAGACATGTCCATTGTGATATTTCCTTCTTCATCTTGTATTTTAGTAATTTGAGTTTTCTCTTCATTAGCATAGCCAAGCGTTATCTATTTTATTTATTTTTTTCAAAGAACCAACTTTTTGTTTTGTCAGTTTTTTCTTTTATTTCAATTCCATTGACTTGAGCTCTGCTTAATTATTTCCCATCTTCTTTTTTTGGTGTTGATTTGTTCTTCTTTTTTTAGGGCTTTTAGAATGTAGTGTTTAGACACTTATTTGTTGAGTTTTTATTCTTTTACTTGAATGTGCTCAATGCAATAAACTTTCCTCTTAGTATGCTTCTATTTTGTTAATTTTCTGAATATCTCAATTTTGTTTTCTATCAGAGCACCATTATTCCCTTGGTACTTTGAAGGTTTTTTTTTTTTTTTTTTTTTGGGTTTACACACAACTTACATTTATCTTCCACCAACATTCTTTCCCACTAGTTTATTGGCATGTGTTGTTTTCTGTGATAATATAACTTACAGCTTTAAGTCTGGACACAACACAAGTCCACTTTGACTCCCTTTTTGACAATTTTTTAAGACCTTTGCTACTTTTTTGCCATCCTTAATTTTTATGAATACCATTTCTTAACCATTTTTTATTTCTTAATACCATTTTTTAACATGGGCACTTAAATGGAATAATAAAATCTGTGGTTTACCAGGCAGGGTGCCAAATGTTCTAAGTATCTAATGCTTATAATAACCCTTGAAGGTTGGTGCCCCTATTCATGGAAAAGGTGTTAATCAACTTGCCAAGATTATGCAGGTAGTAAGGGGCATCACATTGCCTCCTGTCAGTTTACTTGTGTGTCCTACTAGGGTAAACTTGAGTGGCAGAGAACATGTGTCCTATTAAAATGTGATCTCATACTTAGTGCAATATTTGCATATAGTTATTGCTAAATATCGCTGATCTGTCTGCATGTACCTCCACCACATGTTCACACTGAACACACACACCTTAGCTTGCACATACACAAAGATGTAGATATTTACAGCACTTTTACTTGGTCTGTTTCTAGAATGTAAACTCAATAAGGCCTGGAACTCAGTCTTATTCGTTGCCATGTGTGGAATGCCTAGAATAACTGGCACAGAGTATGGAATCATTGTGATTAGGCTGAATAAATCAAAGGAGTAATGAATCTAACTTTCCTGAGTAGGTTGAAACATTGGACTTGCTTCTTTTTCTCTGTTTTTCTTTAACTCCTTTCCTGATGTCTGTTTATTTCTATTCTTTTTAAAAGTCTTACTTAAAATGTACTTTGTACTTTTGTTTACTAACAACAGATAGCTCTCTGAGGGCAGTCATTCCTCTTCCATTGTAGACTTTTTGCTTGTTTGCATTATGTTTCCTACCATAATCTATGTTGTTTTGTGAGAGGACAGCCCCAATAAGTGTTTCTGACTACAATAAATGAATCTGTCTGTTGGTGT